TGTTTAAGTCACAAAGTTTGTGTTTTCTTTGTTTAAGTCACAAAGTTTGTGTTTTCTTTGTTTAAGTCACAAAGTTTGTGTTTTCTTTGTTTAAGTCACAAAGTTTGTGTTTTCTTTGTTTAAGTCCACAAAGTTTGTGTTTTCTTTGTTTAAGTCACAAAGTTTGGTAGTCTGCAGTGGACAAAGTTCTAATGCTAAACCAAGTGAAATAGTAATGAAAATAAAATAACTTGCATCATGCAGGAAGACAGAAAGCTTCTGAACTACAAAGTTAAATTTTCAAAAGACCCACTGCACGTTAGTATTGGCCGAATAATGGAAATGGAAGTATATCAATTAATGTAAGGTTTAAGGAAATATTGTTTATTATTACACAATCTAGAGATGCTCCCTTGGGGTCACTTCATTAGGGTTACACTCACAATTTTCTATATTAGTACAAGCTGTAACAAAGTGAATATTTAATAAAAGTATGCTGCTACTGAAACAGATACGAAAACAAGAACTGAGAAAAAACATCATTTTACATGCTCTTCATCCTGCCTGGATTAAAATGTTTAACATGATTTGATGTTTAACGTGTTGCTTTCAATAATATGATAATAAAACCTAACAGAATAAATTCTGCAACAGATGTTTGATTTGCAACTATACAAGTTGATCAAAAAAATACTCACTTTTCCTACAGATTAAAAGTGATTTTATTTATATATATTATAAATAAGAAAATTAATTCACCTTTATTCGACAATCCTCGGGGATGTAAGGACTGGAATCAAGGATACCTGTAAGAGTAAATCAAACATCGGAACTGACCAACATATATAGTCCCCCCCCTATGTAAAATAATAAAACGTTGTTTGAAGTCTTTCACAGATCAAAATAGAATCCTTAACGTACTCGTTTGCAAAAGTTACAAGAATATTACACAAAAAAAAAGCTATTATACTTCATTGATTTTTTTTTAACCCATTAACTTTATCTTTGAATATAAATCACATTAATCTATGTTCTCTTATACTTTCATTTTAGGAAGCAGTTACTTCACGGGCCCACGACACTTCATCTGAATAAAAAAAATTAAGATGCTGAAATATCATACTGAGGCTAACTAGTCTAGTAGTGGCTTATTATTAGTATAGGTCTAACATCCCAACAGTTTTTATAAATATTAAACTTTCCTGATGTTAAGAAATGGTCACAAGTTTTGGTGATATAGCAGCTCAAATTAGCATTGAAAGATAACTTGATAAAATATTAAAAAAAAACAAACAACATCTCAAATATTGTAATTCTTAATTTACATTTATATGTACTTCAAATTCATATCAAGTAATCTGAATTAACGATTTCTGTACAATAAAGGGCAGCACAACCACTGCCGAGAAGCCATTTACAGGGTGTGAAGCAGAATTAAGTTTTTAATGAAGTAATACATCGAGTCTCACCGATAAATTTTCTAAAACATCTAAACTATCATTTAAACTTATATTGTCCATGAATTTACCAAACAAAAAATTTAATGAATGCAATCAGTTAGTCCATATCATCTATTATTTCTGCATAAGAAAACACAAACTTTGTAACTTAAACAAAAAAACATGGGTTATGTAATAAGTGTTTGAAAGTTAAATGATTTAAAAACTACACTTGTATAAAACATCTTTTATATGATTAAAAATGAATACAATTTGAAACTCATTACACAATAAATAGTTATTAGAAACAGGGACTTATCCTAAGAAAAGACTACACATGTTTCGTAACATTCTTTCTGCATGGTAAATTAAATAATCTCACGAGTACGAAAGATGGAAAGGAAGAAATTGATAAATGTGGGATTTATAAAATTCTTTCAATCTGTGGTTCGAGTTTATATTGGCCAAACATGTAGAAATGTAAATGAATCAGTATTAGCAGAACATGTAGCGGAAACATCTCATGTTATAGACTGGAATAACACTAAGTTGATAAATCAGGTATAATTTTAAATATAATTTAATATCAGAGAAACTACTGAAATTGAAAAAACAAAGATATTGTATTAAACATGGAAACTGGTCCAGGTCTATAGATAATAAAGTACTGGACCGATGTGTTGTGACTCTGGGTAGTATAAGTGTAGATGGCGCTACCGGTATGTAAATTATTATGTGAGTATACAAGTCCCAACCTTGCCGTTAACGTTACTCCAGAAGATGGTGTCATAGAACATCGAAACATATGTAGTCATTCCTATGGCATGTTCCTGTTTTAACCAACTGTTTATTGTGTAATGACTGTATTCTTTTTAATTGTAAATAGAAAAAGAAATCTGTAAAAAATATTTTTT